TTAGTGATGAGGAAGAGGAGCTGTTCAGTACTCCAGTTAAACAGAAAACTTAGGAATCAGTGAGAAGTTCAGGTAAAGAAGGCTGGGTCAAGTCCTTGCTTGAATTTCAGTTAAATAAAGGTTCAGGACATTTTTGCTAAGATAATGAGTGAGTTTGGAATTTGAATATTTTAAAAATGCTACAAACTTTTTTGGGCAATAGAGGAATAAGAACTAGTAATATCTAGAATGAAGAACCTTCACTAGAAGGTATATGCTCCTATTGGCCTGTATTTAGCAGGTCCTATAGATCAGAGATTCCTCTTTGTAGGCTGAAACAGCACAGCAACAACTACAGTGTAGAAAGGCAGGGTGCTCTAGAAATGCTGCTAGGGTAGCAAGCCACGATGAAACTTGTCAAAATCTAATTAAGGCATAATGCTGAACTATTTAGACTGCTGTTGTACAAAGCATTGGTCTAGTCCAGGGGTTTAGAAGGGCTTCTCTATTTAATGTGAAATGAGTAACAGAAAGATGCATGTGCATAAAATTTTGAATCCTACCTAGGCTATAGTGAGCGAATAGGAAGTCCTGAGCACCTAGTGAGGCAAGGATCATTAATACCATAACAATTGCTTCCTCCTCCTCCTGCCCCGGCTTCAATTTCAGGATACTCACTCAGTAAAGTTTGCCTTTTCTTTTTTTGTTAGATGCATCAACTGGAAAGAACACTAGAATTTTACTATGCTCATTCTAATGCCAGATTTTCTTCCATTTTTACTCCTCTCAGGAAGATGTAATCATGGAAGTTTTTTCTTGAGGACGATCTTTTACAGAAAGCAACAGCAGTGTTAACAATCTGCTCTCTGATTCTGGCAACACAACTTCTCTTTGTGCAACAAAACTGGAGTTTACCTGTAGGACATAAAATTCCACATATTACTGAGTTCTTGCTTGAGGAAACAGCCTTCAGTATGCATAATCAGAAAATCCCTGGATAAACTGCTAAATCCAGGTTTTACAACATGGTGGTAGTTTGTAGATTTGCAGTTTCTACAAGGCCTTATTTCATAAGATATACAGGAAAGGTGAAGTTGCTCTACAAAATAGGTAAATCCCTCGTTATCTTAGAAATAAATAAAAGTAAGTCCAACTGAATAACAGTAATCTCCAGCTCACCACAACACTTGAAATATTCATGCCAGCTGTAGTCATGAAAGATGAAAGCTAGTTGTGGATACATCTATAGCTAGCATAGATGCTGCAGTGTGATTCAAGCAAAGGAACATTTCCCTTTTACTTTGCTCTTAGCATTTTGTTTTTTCTCACTGATTAGCCAAGTGATGGTTGTTGTGGTCTTTAATAAGGAGTGGAACATTTTGTTTCAAATTAAATACTATAGTTTGTTTCTCTGCCGTTTTAAATGTTTATTACTTCAGTTTCTCATTTCATTTTGAATTAAAAAAATACGATCTCTCAACTGAGAAGTAAAATTTTATTTTTTAAGTTTATTTATACAATCTTTTCTATGTCATCTTTATGACTAATAACATATGTATGAAATCTATAACAATATTTTGGGAGAGTGTTAGAGCAGGTAATTGTGCTAGAAATTAACTGTAGCTTTTTCATCTGATTTAAGGAATAATTCATCCTGTATGGACAGATAATAAAAACAGATAGGCTAACTCAATTTCTGAGCATTTTCTGTTTAAGAGTTACAGAGTATGATCATTTTGATCTAATAAAGTCATAGCTTAATAAAGTCATACCAGCTATAGTAACTGACTTGAAAAATATAGAGAACAGCAAGTTTTAATGGAAGCAGATTATAAATTTGAGCTCTTTCACTTTACTTTCCCATAAACTGTGATAAATAGGTTAATTTCTCTTCCATCTCCATGTAAGACTTTAGTCTGATATCTGGTTCCTGCTCATTAAAATTGTTTTTACCAGGTGCTTTAATAGCAAACACACACAGAAACATCACTGATGTTGTAATTTTCTTTTACTTCTCTAAATATTACTGCAAGTTCTCCATATGTATTGAATTTTATGAGAAGAAAAAAAAAAACAAACCCACACACACACTATTTCTATATTCTTGCTCACATTCCTGACAGCAGATATGATCTTGGTTCACTCATCATACTTACTGAAGCTTTGGAGGTTTTTCTGGGTTAAGATCAGTAAGTTAAAAATTTTTACTTTATAACCATCGTTTATCAAGCTGATAACATTAAAGAGAAAAATATTTAGTAACAGTTGATTTCAGAAATAAATTCTGAGAACTGCTAACACATCTGCATCATTAGAACCTCTCTGCTGTTTCAACCCTATCTGGGATCCTCTTGTCTTCCTGTCTGTTGCTTTTTGTGATTCACAAAATGCATCATCTAGAGGTCCCACTTGATACCAGGTCTTCGTTATGCAGGACACTGCATACATGTAACAAAACCAGTGCCTCTGCCTCAAAGTCCACTCTGTGGTCAGCCCCACACAGACAATCCAGAGGATGGCAGGAACTGTTCTTTACAGCATATGTACAGCACGTCTTAATCCATGGATCTGCCAAAAGATCCAGTAAGTAAAAGATCCAAAAAGTGGAGAGGGAAATGCCTTGTCATAAACACTGAAACAACCACCTCTACTTTCACTACAAGTGCCTATAAAGCAACACACTTAATGAGGCAGCACTGGTCTGGTTTTGTAACCAGACTATGTCACATTAGCTTTTTTTCCTGTAATAATGCTGAGAATACACTTAGCTGACGTATATACGCATAAATTGCTAGCAGGATACCACACTAAAAAAGCCACAATAATAACATCAAAGTATGTCAGTGGAGGCATTCCCAGGAGATAGTGGGAAATGTTAGTGCATTACTTTGGTGATCCATTATCTCAGAAGCAGGTCCACATCTAATGACCTATACTCAAGAAAGATCAATCTTAAGAGCTACGTGAAGAACACCTACCAGAAAGATAAAAGGGGCAGGGGGTGGTGAGAGGAAGGGGACCTGCTTTAAGGTAGGCTGTGGGATAATATTTGCTGTTCTGATTTCAAGCAATTCTCTAAAAGAAAAAGAAATATTCTATGCAAGTATACATACCTGGGTATGTGTATGTTCATGACTTACATAATGGGTGTATGAATTACCAGCAGGGAAGAAAATGAACTCTTATGTTTGAAAACAAATGACTGCTAATGACCCATGAATAAATATCCATTTGAAACCGAAAATGGCATCTAAGACCATTAGAACATTCTGAAAGTTCTGAAAGTGGTTTTTGAGAAGGTTAGGATCAAAAACGTCTAACAATTTTAATTGCATCTTGGTAAGTTCATGCCTGGGCTACCATCAGGACTGATGTGCTCACCCACCCAAGAGGTGTTCCTCAGTTCCACTGAACGATGGCAGCACACTTTTGGGTGGCATCATAAGACTATAGTGTGCCCAGGAAAATTTGAAATAGTTTAAACCTATGAGAACAGCCTCTGTGAAGCAGGAAATGAAATGGCAATACTAATGAAAACTTTTAGAAAAAATCTTGTATTTATATTAGAACAAGGTACACATTTAATTATCCTTATATTCCAAATTTTTATTCGATTTATAGGCATCTACATCTAAATTCATATTAAAACTGCATCTTAAACAACTGCTGGTGATTACTTTACATCCCTAGCCAGCCTCATCGTTGCTCTTAAGTGACAGATTTTTATTCAGGTCCACAACTAACTGCAGCAGGCAGCCTTAGACCTTCCCTGTAGACACTGCTGAAGGTTATGTCTTTAATGAAAATTAATTGACTGACACGATAACTGAAATATTCAAAACCTATTGACAGAAACTCATGGGAATATTTCTTCCTGTAGACAAAATGAAGGGTAAATATGCAGTCGCTAACAAACCCAGATAATCTGAAAGGCATGAAAAATGCAGAGGCTAAACAACTCGCCTACAAACACACTTTGCAGCAAGCTTGGGGGCAAAGAGACACAAGAAAGAGGAAACGGGCAATTTAAACAAGATGACACCAAGAGCGCTACAAACCCACAGTCCCAGTAACAGTAAGGGTAGGAGTTTTCCTCAAGAAATATAGATGAGATTCTTCAGACTGTCTCAGAGTGTTTATATAAACTAAGTACAGAACTACCTCCATAGCTGAAGAACTGTATCATTTGCTTCTTAAATAACTTGCTATATACAGAATTTCTTGGACCCTGACATCATTGCCTTTAAACTGAAAAGGCAAGTCCTATATAACAGATATAGTGCACCATCCAGCATTTGATGATGTCAGAAGCCAACAATCAGCTATACTTTCTATTCAAATTTATCCATTTATTCAAAGGAACCACGCTCACTCCTTTTCCTTCTTGCCTTCCTCTATTTCTAAATGACTATGTTTTCTATAAGAGGATTTGCATCAAATAATGAAGAGGGGAAACTCTTACTAATATAGTTCAAACAGTATCTGCAAGTATAACTCGAACAAACTTACTAAATAACAAAATTTCCAAGAATATGCCATCATAGGAGAGATTTTTAGACATAACTGCTGCTAAGTCCACTATTATGGGTATTAAATAACAACGACATCATATTATGGATATGAGCAAAAAGTCACCAGGTGACACATCTCAGTTGGCAAGGACAAAGACCACAGTGGGCAGATTTGATATCTGAATACATACTATTTTGTTGGGCAGCTCCACAGACCACTTCAAAATAGCTTGGCTATTAGGCGAAGGGCTCCTTCCTTGCAGGCCACTGCAATGCGTTGCCTTAAGGTACCGTGGGTGCCATCACACACAAAGCAGCTTTCTGTGGAAAAACCAGGGACACTGGAGGAAGAGAAGAATTATTGGAAAAACAAAGCAACACAGTGGAACATTGTAATAGGTCATTAAGTGAAGCTCTGAGAACTGCCCAGCAAGCCCAGGATATAATGCAGAAAAGCAGAGAGCAGAGCAGTGGAACTTGCTCAGCGAGAGGTGGAACATCCACACTCACCCTTGAGCGAAAATAGCTGCTACAGGCCACAGTTAGCAAGTGCTCTCCTGGTTGGGATCCAGGGCACTGGGGCGGTTCCTCCTCCTTGAGGAAACGGGGTTTATTGAATGAAGCAATCCAAGCTCTGGCTGCAGCCATCCCAGGCACTCTCCAGCTGCAGGATGAACGGGAAGCAAGACAGGCAAAAGGACATGCCACCACTGCTATTGAAAATGCCTGCTTCCCCACAGGGGAAGACTGTGGGCCACAGTTACTTGCTCCTGGGAAGGAATTCAATACGCCCACAACTGATTGCCCCAGAGATGGGAACACAGTCCCATGTTTTGCCTTGGACCGATTCATCGACCCTAAGGAGAAACACTTCTCCAGAACATCTGCAATACGTTCATGACAATTTCCCCACAGGAGGTGAGGAAACATACAGTAGTTTTTGAAAAAGATAGGCCTATCACTGAAATTCTGATGAAAGCAGAGTTTGCCAGATAGACTCTTTGATTTTAGACTTCTACACCATGCAACAGAAATGCAATTCCTACACAAAGTGGATGGATGAAAGATTACGTATACCAAATGAAATGGTAGTAAAGACCAATAATTTTGCTGAACCCACTAGCAAAAAGGAAACTCAGTATTCCTTCCTGGGAAGGAATGCAGATGCACATTTCTGGACACAGCCACCTTGCAAAACTGCTGCGTGCTGTGACCTATATGCAAATGCTAGGAACAGAACCACCACTTACACCAGTGCCCTGACATCCAGTTCTGCACTGAACATTAAATGGGAAGCCACCCATCACACCTCTCCCTGAGGGACTACGAAAAGCAGTAGAAAGGACTCCCCTCACCAACTGTGTGGAATAGGAGAATCCCCTGAGTCTGCAGATGCTAAAGGTGTGTAAACTAGCTCCAGAAGGGGCTGAATTTGAAAAGGGGCCAGGCTCTTGTGCCCACTTTCAAGTGAACCCCATTGCTCCATAACAATTCCTGTAAGGGATTAAAATATATATATATATACACACACACACACACACACACACACATATATACACACACACATATATACACACACACATATATACACACACACATATATACACACACACATATATACACACACACATATATACACACACACATATATACACACACACATATATACACACACACACACACATATATACACACACACACACACATATATACACACACACACACACATATATACACACACACACACACATATATACACACACACACACACA